GTGTCAGCTTAAAATTAAAAGGGAGCTAAAAATTTAATAAAATTTAATAATTTAATTTAACGTTTTTAATAAAACAATTATTCCTCTCGCGCTTGTTGGATATGAGATGATTATAGCCAACTCGGCGCTACGCGCCTCGTTGGCTATCTATCATCTCATATCCAACGCGCGCTCGTGGTATAATTGTTAAATATACTGTAGACCGGCCTTCGTTGCAACTTTTTGGCTCTAGCCAGCCTCTAGAGAGACATTTTCAACAACGTGGTTGGATGAATTTCATAAGAAAATCTTTTCATAGTTCTCCGCAGTCCTTCTAAACAAAACTTGATTGGTCGATATAAGAGACAGATATGAGAGGAGGGCATCAAGGAAGGAAAATTTGTGTCTGTGTGATCAGTGAACTTAAGAGTTAGAGAAATTAATTTGTACAGGAGGATTGAATATTTTAATAGACATGTAAACTGATATTGATATAAACAGAATTGACAGACCTTTGTCGGCTTTTTCCTTGTTATCTTTAAACATGTTCTTGTCGGCTGTGGCTGGGGCAGTTTCTCTGAAGTCGATGACTGTTGCTGTCTTAAATGTTTGATTGTACACCAACATCACTCCCCCACCTCCTATCCCTGATGAGTGCATGCTGACCACACCCAAACAGAACATGGCAGCGATGGCAGCATCCACTGCGGAACCGCCATCGTTAAGGATGTTTTGTCCGATTTCAGAGCATTTTGGTGTATCCGTGGCAACGGCCCCTCTATCGTAGCTGCGAGATGATTGATCGGGGGAATCTTCTATACTCTTAAGAAGGCCACCCATCCCCAAAAGTGAAATCACCCCCGTACCCACAACTATTGTGATCCTCCTAAAAAGAAAAAAGTCCGTGACAACGGTTGCTCTTTCGTAGGGTCCGCCAGCTGATCGATCAGGGGAATCTCTATCTAACCAATAAATGAGGTAGCCGCCACCCGTCCCCAAAAGTGAAGTCACCCCCCCAGACCACAACTATTCTTATCCTCCTAAAAAGAAAACATCCAGATTAAATAATTGGCTTGATTTTAGGTCGTGTAACAACTGAATGCTGGCATTTGCATTAAAAAGGGAAGGGCTCGAAGGACACAATAATTGACATATGTCCGAGAAATCGTATCGTATATAAAAAAAATACGTCCCCATCAGTTGTGGCGCAGAGTGGCGGTCAGGACAAGACGTTCGTTTATCATGGACTTTTAATGATGAATGAACAAGCCAAGTGTTTTCTCGTTCAAAAGAAAGTCCTTGATGAATGAATTGTCAGTTTTGTCACGCAAACGAAGTGACACTTTCCGCGTGAGTTACTGTGTTTCGAAATTAAAATTTGGATTTGCATTAAATCTTCTTCCCTGGGTCAAAGTACGCACAGATTAGTGCTAACCATGGATCAAGAAATTTGAAAACATTTGTTGAAAATCTCGGGACTTCCAAATCTCACTGTCATATTTTTCGATATGTGTGCTGGAAACAAACGTTTTAAAACACTTTTTGAAACAGCGAAAAGAGAAAATACTACTCAGCTACATGTTAGATCAAAGGGATATAAATGCAAATTTTAGTTGCTGTGTAAAAAAGCATTCAGGTTGATTTTATTTGCGAGTTGTCACAGTGAACAGTTTGGTCCCAGTTAACTTCGAATGATCTCCGCTAACCCAGCGGCGTAGACGAAATCGAAATTATCAAAGTGATATGAAAGATTATGATAAATATGTCGTCGGAATAGTTTTCTGGGAAAACCACGTCACGCCATTGTTGAGAAAATAGATCGCGCCGAAAAACTTCATAGACTACTTCTGAAGCAGATACTCAAATTTCGCGACACATTCAGTTTGTAAACTACGAAATGTTTATCTTTTGCCGTATTCCGTGTCATCCCTGGTTACATATTTGAAGTTAAAAGATGTGAACATTTGGCAGAATGGTGGTGTAATGCTTTCCAGAGATTTCAAACCTTTGGTTTGTGTGTTTAAGTTAATTCAACGTAGAGTGCACATTGAACATGGTATATACGGAATATTGAAAACTGATTATGCTTACCATCTGTCGCTCATCGTGGCTTCCATTTTGCAACGAAAATGCACCTCGAACGTTGAAAGAAAGTCTAAACTCGAGTTCGATTCTTACGGATTTCCGAGACCACCCGTGCCCCCACCCCCAGGGCTGTCTACTCAATCGTCTCTTGTTCTCAATTTTCCACGATTGACTAGCGATATTAAAATGTTTTATAATGTTTTAGGTACAAGAGATGCGAGTTCTGTTTAATGCGCTCTCTGACATGCAGGTGTTCTCGGATAGAAATATTTCGATCAAAGGTCTAGATTCTTCATTCTACACGAAACGAAAGATGTTTGAAAGTCTAAATGTTATAAAAGAAATGGTTAGCGGGCAGCGTGCATGCAACCATCGAGTTATTGATGCACTTGGGATGTTGGCACATGCTAAGCGCTCAAGAGGTCAGAGTCGCACTCGGTTATCGCCTTGTGCGACTGTTAACACTTGCCTTTTCTTTCGTGCTTAGCAACCTCCCGTATGAACCATTACTCGATGGCTGCACGCGGCACGTTTATCATTTCTTAACTGATCCTTTCACTCCCAAGATCTCATTAGAAATTCTCCCTACCGTCTGCCATACAATTCTTATGATGTTAGTGTGGAGAATTTGGTATTCATCAGCTAATCATCCCCTGATTGATATTTTCCTGTGTTCTTATCTCTTGTTTGCTTGATATTGTACTAATATTGTAAGGAGAAATTCTGTCTTGGTCACTTTTTGAAGTCAGTGGGTTAAATCTTTTGTTGCAACCATCCATGATGGTTCCGCTAAATGAAAATTGTAGAGCAAGTAAACGCACGTTTCTAGTCTAGTCTGATCGTGTCGCAAAAGGAAAAACTTGAACAGGAGAAAAACGAAATCGCTGAACTTGAGGGAGAGTGTAACTCTTTTGAAGCGCGAGCTGATGCAGAAAAACGAAACAAACAAAATTTGTTGAAAACAGAATCGTATTTTTTATACAACTTGCCTTTATTCACTGTATATCATTAAAATAGCAATGACTGGAAATAAGTTCTAGACTTTTTCAAACATAGTGAATTATATTAATCAAATGGTTTAGTTATCTAATGGATTACATCATTTACATTTCTCTTGAGCATTGCCTTTTTTCCATAAGAGCGACTGTGTTATGAAAACAGTTTAAGAATATGGAGTTGCCAAACAATGCTGCGTTTAAAAGCAAGTTAAGGTTAGTCGACAAAACTGACTGAGCTATATTAATCAAATAGTTCAGTTTTCTAGTGGATTGTATCACTTGCATTTCTCTCGAGAATTGCATCTTTTCAATAGGAACGACTGTGTTATAAAAACAGTTTAAGAATGTGGAATTACCAAACTATGTTGCGTTTCAAAGCAAGTTGAGGTCAGTCAACAAAACTGACGGTTGTCTCTGAACGAAAGTTCTATTCACCCGCGGGCGCTCCATGCTTTCTCGGATCAGACTTGGCGAATATTCTGACACCCGGTTCGTTATAAATCGCCTGCACCACAGCGAACGATTCGCTTCCTGTGATGTTGTGACCTCGTTCTCTTAAGCCTTCTATTACGTCATCTTGAATGCGATAGGTCCCATTGTGTTCATTTTCATAAAAGACTCTCTGATCAGGCACCAGTTGTGTGTGCAGTCGTGGTTTGTTTACCGCCTCAGACAAGTCATAACCAAACCAGAGTTTGTTCATTAACACCTGCCAAAGCAACAGTATATTTTTGCTTTAATTTTCACAATATGTACCATATATATTCAGTAGCGAAGTACAGCCGGTTCGAATCCGCAGTGGATAGGGGAGGGGGTGGGGGGTAGGATGAGTGTCACTCACTTAAAGCTCCGACCTACGTTGTTAGCTTTTCAAAAGTAGCTGCTTCCTCTTTTCAGCGTGGAAGAAAATAATACCTATATTTTATGTTTCCTCGTTTTCGCATTATTTTCAGCTGTTCACTTCAAAGAGAAGAATTTGCTACCTTTCTATAACATCAAGAAATGGTTAGATATTCTAGTCTTCTCGGATAGGGACGAATAAATGGAGGTCCCGTCTCCTGTAGGGTTGGGGGCAGGAGACGTTAATTTCCCACGCGCGAGATTACTGTGTGATGGATGTCCTCCCGTGGGTGGGATGGGTGGGTTTACTGGGCCCGAAGTAATTGGCGCAAGCTGTTGCGGTGTCCCTGCCGGTCGGCGAAGCTTAATAAATTCTAAAACGATGTGTCTATCCTTTTGAAGCATTCTGTTTTGTTGTTAATACCCAAAACGCACCGAAAATCAGGTGATAGAAGCGACAGTGCGTGACACAAATTTTCCTCTTTCACTGAGGCTTAGGAGGAGGATAAATTCAACCACTTATAATTGATCTGTTTCAAGCCTCAGTTCTGATCGAGTTAAATCCTCGTCTCTACAAAAATGTTGGTAAATTTTAGCAGTTTCCCAAAAATCCTCATTATCAATTACTGTTACACTACATTATAGTGTTTACAGCCGCGCGACAGTCCTACTGCGGACGCATACGCGCCTGCAATGTTGACGTTCCGGCAGCATGCCAACGGACGAGTAGAAATCAAGTGGAAATACTAAGTACTTGGTTATGAAAATTTCCTTATACGTCCAGCTTGTCTTGTCATAAGTCAATTGTAGTTATAACTGCAACAAGTGTCTACGTAACTGACTTAAAACGATTTATTTTTGTTCAGTTCAAAGTAAAATGCCACTTGTTCTCGCACTCGCCACGTTTTTGAATGACAAACTCTTTGAAGTTTTAGTTTGTAAGAATAGCGGACAGCCCACTTCGTTGCCTTACTTCGAAGTGTAAAGTCTGAAAACCATGAGTTCGAATATACCAGCGGAGCAAAACTCGTTAAAACTGTTTCATTGTTGGGGTATATCAAACTAACATCGGTGTCTTCATTAACTTAGTTTTTGTCCTGATGAAAACATATTTATCAGAGAATAAGCTCGGGTGTGCGTGCGATGTCTTAAAGAAATGCACGGGCTAGAACTGAGTTGACCATTTGTTTGGCAAATTTAGACAATTATGCAATGAGAACAATGTAATTTATTGTAGTGAACGAGTCCTGAAATGATCCTTGGTTTCCTTCTGAGCAAACTGAGCACTGAAATAAATAGCACCCTGAATAACTTCGTGTGAATTAATATCCGTTGGCATTTATAAATGCGAATATAATTTTTTTTTATCGTTCACCTTAAGATGATTCCTCGGTATTGCATTTCCCATTCTGTTATTGCGCATAATAATAAACGTAATCAGGCGAATATAAGCACGCGCACTTCCGTGTCATGATGGAACCCGTCAACACCTATAATCATAATACAGTTCTGGGAAAATCTGTTTCTTTTTCTGGAAAATCCATAACAAAGAGCTTTACCATTAGGATAAAGATATGTAATGTGCTTGTCCATGTGTTTCTCCGCCATCTTTACCTCTCCTCTCTAGGGATAAAGTTGGGTAGGGTACTCACCGTAAACCTCCTACAATGCTTATCACCCTATATAAGCCAAATCGCTGAGATTCAAGGAGCATAAAAAAAAGGGGATTGGACGTACCAGTGACACAGCAGTGGTTATCATTTTCCCACCAGAGGCACCAATAACAAGCCGAACTTTTCCGTCGTTATCGGTAAAAATGGTGGGACACATGGAGGAGAACGGTCGCTTGCCAGGCTCAGGAAAATTGAATGGTGAAGGAGAAATATCATCCACTATTTCGTGACCAGGAATATCAAAATCTGCCATCTGATTGTTGTAGATAATGCCTGTTCTGGTGGATCGATATTTAGCGCCAAATCTGTTTGAGAAAAAAAAAGTAACGTCACTACTGTTAGAGAATCCCATTTCAATGAGGCTGAGCAGTAACATGATTATTTTTGGCTTTGGTTCCTAACACCTTCCTTGCAAGTTGTCATCTTCGTACGAAAACCATGGCGGACTCTTTTTCATCTTTCCTGCGGCTTAACCATAATAACTAAAAACTCCATGATATTGACAACTCTTCTCAAACCGAGCGAGTTCGACTGCTTCCAGTGGTTATTATCGTCGAAAGCAGGAACGTTGAGAAGTCATCCTTCGTAAGCCCTCAGTTATGGTGACCTCGAGGTCCACTGGTGCCACCCGTACTTCCAAATGATTTTTATAAGTCAACTCACCTCATATTAATAGTTGTTGTCACAGAAACTGCGTCTCCATTTAGGGCCAGTACAGCCACGTGTGTCGTACCGTAATCAGCATTCGAAAAGGAATCCGCGTAATACGATACATTCTTATAAGTTTTGCTATCGCGTATTCTGTCACGTAGGTCATCCCCTCTTTTTGGATCCAACATTTTTTTTGCATTCTTTTGAAAATAAAAAATGATAACGATGAAAAAAAAAGTAATTGTTTCTGTTCACTTATCTTTAATCTTGGATTTGTTCGAAAATCGTGTTAAACAACTTGCGCCACCTGCTAGCCAACCATATGCAAAGCTGAATCAAGACAAAAGCTTTGGTCTTCTGAATGAATAGAATTCGATTTGGTCACCGATGTTTTCTTGCAGGCCGGCTATTTGTCTTTGCCATACGTTAATATTTGGTTCCTTGTGAATCAATTCCAATTTTGATTGCATGGCCTTCATAATATGCCCTTTGCAACTAGCGATCATACAGCAAGACTTGTACCATGTCTGAGAACAAATTAATTGTGCATTGAGATATTAAAAAAGGAAGGGAATTTAATACCATAATGGATGTTAAAGGTGCATCATTGCTCTCCACAGTGGTAGCTATCTGGAAAGCGAGGATTTGTTACTTTGGACCTTCACTGGTTGTGGTTTGACAAGCGTCAACCAAACAGCTGGTTAGACAAAAGTTAATATCACCTACCTCTACTATCTCGGGGTTACGCTTGGGATCTCCGAGCAGACTGCGCCATGCATAGCTGAACTTAAAGGATTCAATAATTCGGTGATACTTGAGCACGGTGGCGTTCACGTCATCACGAGCTGACGATGTCATGTTGTACCCTACAATTCAAGCATTCTACATAAGGAAGCTGGTTTATAAATCTTTCGAGTAGAATCTCACTTATGAATAAAGGCTGATAGTTTCGAAAGAAACTGTTTGGGGCTGCGTCGGTGGGAGTAACGAAATAATTTGGATATATCAACAAAGTTGAAATGGTAAATTGGCCACCGTAACGATTACAAAAGCTGGCGTTTCGAGCGTTAGCCCTTCGTCGGAGCGAATAGAGGAATTGTGGGTTGTGTGTGCTTTTAAAGGCAGAAAATGGAGCTACGTTATTGGTGGGAACATGGCAACGAGAAAAACATGAATAAATTAGTGGAATGAAAAGCGTTCGTTGATCCCTGTGGGATTTAGACTGCCGGTTTGAAAGATGAGCTTTTGTTCAAGATTTTTACGGCTTTCCGTGC